TATTAAACGGCATTTTCCAAGGTATTACATTTTGTAGCTTGTTTTCAATAAGTATGTAAATTGTCCAAAGAGGTTGTATTCTACAGTCTGCCTGAATGTAATCATTGCGTAGGTGTGTAGTGTGATTCTGTGTAGTTTATTTATGGCATCCCGTTGGATTTGACATCATCTGAACAGGACATTGCACGTTCACTGCTTGATAGCGCGCAAAGATCTGTTTACACTGGTTATGGGGAAACAACATGGTTATGGGGAAATGCAAGTTTGAGTCCAAATGGCTGGAAGATAGGGAGGAAGGACAATCAATACTGTATATATAGTAAAGTGTGTCGCCAATGTAGCCGGTTAAAACTCAAAGTGGCGATGAGGTCTTAACATGTATGGAAAGGGTCTTAAAAAAGGTCTTACATTTGACTTCAGGATTCCTGCATATACCCTGTTAACCCGCTTAGCAAGTACGTCAAATCTCCAGGGCAAAGACACAAATATGTTTTTGTATTCAGGTCATGTGATTAGGTGGTTGATGCCCTCACAGTTTTGTGAAGAGAACAAACTCAGATTAAATAGTGTTGCAGTATATGTGTCACCCATGACTGTGAGAAAACATGCCTCAAGGTCAGCTCTGTTAAAATGGGGAGCTAAATTGGATATTTGTCAAACAAGCTCGTCAGCCTTTTGTAAACAGTCGCTCTGCAGTTTGCCAAAGATATCTCTGTGTATATATGCTTGAACTCGCTGTACTGATCTACCCAGGAGGAGGAGTTTTATGTGTGTATTTATGCCACACGTGAGGGCGACCAAGTGCTTTTCCACCACGAGGGAGGAGTGGAGGTGGGCGATGTGGACGCCAAGGCTGAGAGGCTGATGGTGGCAGTGAACGAAAAGCTGAGTGAGGACCAGGTCACTGAGCGGCTCCTCACACACGTTCCTGAAGACAAGAAACAGTAAGGACACATGCTTTCATTTATTTTTCATCCACACTATAAGATCTACAGCAGTCAACTCAACCCAATTTCACTTCAGAGATACTTGGATAAGAGGTTGTACCCCCTCATGTGTTAGGCCATTGCTACAAATACAACACTATGATAAGCATCCATATTTGAAATCATGATATATAGTTATTGTCCCACCTATCACAAGCTGTGTTTCCTTTAACTTAATTTGAGTGTTTTTAGAAGTGCTGCATTAAAGCAGAAAATGAAAATACAAAATGAAAACGTCTGAATTGCCCGTGTTTTTGCACCTTCTTGGATTTATATTTCTCCAGACAGCCTAAAACAAGGCAAAATGAACTGCCATGAATAAACAATTTAAGCTTTCCCATTTAAAAACTAGCCCAGTTATAAACATTCGGAAGAGTTCACCATTTTTCTCTGACTTGCAACCTCTAACCTCAAACCTTCTTCAGTTCCGTTTACTGCCAGATAACAGCCATGCAGAAAGTGTAGCATGAACCACAAAATGATAACGAAACTAAACTTTTCGCAGGGTAGTTTATTGCCTCACTGCTGGCGGATGAACGTGCATCATTTGCATTTCTGTTTTGCAACATTTAAAACGTTTGCTTAAAATAGGCTTATATCCTAACCTGGTTTTGGATGATTCCTTTTGTAACTGTTGCTACATTTTTCTTCCAATGCATCAAAGATAGTCTCTCTTCGTTGTAGCTTGTGTAACCTTGAGATGTGTGTTTTTAGATTTGTTTTTCCCTTTTCCAAATATCATCCCTGGGGTGCAGAGGACATGCTGATCCCTCTTTGATGCAGCAAAACATTTGTTTGCTTCCAAAGGCAGAGTGTGTGAAGAAACTAGTCAAAGTGTGATCCACTCTGAATTAAATTACTGCTGCACTGTATGTTATAAGTGGCAGCACTTAGCATAATATGTTATGTAATATATGAATGTTCTTAACGTTTCCTAATTTTAATGGAATTTTTTTGTTTTTCTTAAAGAGTCTTAGCCAGCTTCATAGTTGGCCTCTTCAACTTGTACGAGGACCTCTACTTCACCTACCTTGAGATCAACCCTATAGGTACAAACTGTTAAACTTCAAAGACGTTAGGACACTAAGAAGTGAGATGAAGTGTCATTCTTCACTTTGGGAATATGTCAAGTATTTTATTATTCCAATGGCTCAAATTGACCATTATAAATTCAACAGAATGAATTAAGTACTTTGAGGGGATTCATTATTAATTTATGGGAACAATTTACTAATGGTGCATATTAATGATAAATTATCAAATGTACCACTGTGGCATATTCTTCTATAACATCTTCATCTGAGAAAAAACATGAAAACATCACAATAATAAATAGCACAACTTTTATTCTCTTAACCAGTCGTCACCAAAGATGGAGTGTACGTCCTGGACATGGCAGCCAAGATTGATGCCACAGCAGATTACATCTGCAAGACTAAATGGGGGGATGTGGAGTTCCCACCTCCCTTTGGCAGGGAAGCATATCCAGAGGTGAGATCTGAAGTACAGTGAAGAAGGTTTTTATGCACATGTGTGTTAAGATCTATTGGGTTGAAATGCATCACACAATGTGTAGTTTTGGACCGCCGCAAATATATTAAAAAGTCCAAAACCTCCTGGTTTGGACCCTAACCCATGAAACTGAAGTGCAACATTGTTATGCCCTCCTGCTTGGCCTTATTACCACTGTATGATTTGTCGTGTGCAGGAGGCATACATAGCTGACCTGGATGCAAAGAGTGGAGCCAGTCTGAAGCTGACGCTGCTGAACCCTCAGGGCAGGATCTGGACCATGGTGGCCGGGGGAGGGGCTTCAGTAGTCTACAGGTACACCAATCTTTAATAAGGGTTCATATCAAGCTTCTTTAGCTAACGAATCTGCTTTGCTGGATTAATAAATACCGTAATTTTCGGACTATAAGGCGCACCTGAATATAAACCGCAGCAGCTAAATTGAATGATGTGTACATATATAAGCCGCACTGGACTATAAGCCGCACGTCTTTTAATGTTTAATTACCATATGTAAGGGTTCGTGCACAGAGGGGATTGTCGGGAAAGAGATGGCTGTTTGAGGAAGCTCCCATTTATTAACATTTCAACAAACAAGTTGCATATTTGCATAACGTATTCAAGTGTTACCATTTAGTGCAATAGTAGCTACAGAACATGTGCTGTGTAAACTGTACTGTATCACATAGCGTTTCAGACACACAAACTTTTCAACTACAGCACATGTTCTGTAGCTACTATTGCACTAAATGGTAACACTTGAATANGTGTGTGTGTGTGTGTGTGTGTGTGTGTGTTTCCCAGGATGCTCTGTGAACAGCACTAAGCCCGGGGGGCAGACAGACGGCCACAAAGGCCGAAACGAGGAACTGAAGGATGGAGACGATGTGTCTGAAGAGGAGAAGCCTGTCTTTACAGGCGGCCTGCGACGCTCAAAAAGACAAGTCAGTTTTCATACTATGAGTCTCTTTCTCCTGACACACACACACACACACACACACACACACACACACACACACACACACACACACACACACACACACACACACACACACTTGAACGCACACAGACAGCCCAACGCCAGAAACATGTGGCATGCATTTCAAGTGTCACCATGAGGGAAACATCAGGGTTGAGATATGCAAACACAATTAATATTTCACAGATGAAGCTGTCAGTCTGTGTGGATGAAGCCAAATGTCCACACGCATGCTGATAGCCTCTCTCAGCTTTCATGCTAATATGTTGAAAAAAATAAAGTAGTAGTGTTGTACGCCTGAAGGAGCTTTCTGAAATCTCAGGGGATGCTCCTTTGTTAATTTTGGATTTGGCTTGTACTACAAACTTCAAACCGAGTACTTGCAGTACTAAGTCGGTGTGTAAGGTTTTAAAGGTGTGGGTTTTCCCAGGCATGATCTTTCTAACTTTCATTTTCACCTTTTGACCCTAAACATCAACATTAGTGGTTTCCATTAAGACATTTCTGTATTTCTGTATGTCTGTTCACTTCTCACTGACATATTACATTTGCTGGGATCAGTAGAAACACCTGGATTTTGAACTGTGTACCAGTAAGCACCTTTGAATCAAATTGTGTCACTTATCACAAAATAAATATGACCTAAAGGATATTTTCTTTATATTTTTCACTGCCACTTCTCTAGTCTTTTTTGCTTTCAAAGTTGTGTTTTATTACTTGTTAGACTCCTGAAGTATTTGGAAATGAAAATCCAGAGCAATGTTCTCTCTAATGAAAGAATGATTGTTGCTTTCCAAGTTGTGTTTCCCTCTCAAGGACAAAGACTAGAGTTTCACCAGCATCAGCGCTTGTGTGTGTCTCTTTGTGTGTGTGAGTAATTCAGTAAAACCTGCTGGGTTTGTGTGTGTGTGTTGGCATTGTCTTTTTGTGTGTCTGTTTGTCCTGTGTGAAGGTGATTATGACAGCGGACTCAGAAGTCTGACTGTGTGGATTTCTCTCGCCCCCTCCAGGCGAGAAGAGGCCCGCGCACCGTCCAGACTGAGACCAAGTACATCGAGCTGATGGTGGTGAACGACCATGAGCTGGTACGTGTGAAGCCTATATTACCTTATCTCTGTAGCTGCTGAATGAAAGCAATTATAGGAAGTGAGCGTGACTCTTATTAAAAAAGGATTTTAATCAGCTCATTCGACTTTGTAATCAGTATTAAAGTGTTTCTCCTCTCCTTGTAAGTTTGTGCAGCTTCGACGGTCAACCACTCAGACGAAGAACTTTGCCAAAGCGGTGGTGAACATGGCCGACGCAGTGAGTGGAAATATTGTTAATTTGACTATGAGCTTTCTCTTCAAATCATCCTTTTGTCTTTAAACCATGTTATCCCTTCATAGGCAGTCTATTCTAGGAAGTCTCCAGAGATTAATCAGGAAAGTTGCCAAATGTCTGAGTGTTTCCTCCTGCTGATGAAACCTTCCTCAGTGAGAGAACTGCCATCCCTTATTTCAACTTTTAACAGCTACTTTAATGCCATATATTTGCCATCATCTCTTGAGGTCTTCATAACCTTTCACAGGGTCTTTTTATAAGAGTCATTTCAAGCCCCGTAATGTTGCATTAACATGAGCTACTGACAAATCACCTCATACATAACATAACTAAAGACCAAACATGAATTAGAAACATACATAAAGAATGACATTGCCCATCTTTCTTGTGGTTAGATGTTCTTAAAAAGGACCCAAACCAAAAGCAACTACACCCTTTTAGTTCCAAAATAGTTAAGTATGTTCAGTGTTAAGTCTTCTTGTTGGGTTATCTACCCTTTTTGCCGTAAAATATACCCATAAAAAGCTTTATCTTGATATACGTAACACATTTCCCCCCATGTTCTTACCGCTAGAAAATAAATATAGAAATAAATAAAGGTTTAACCAGGATAGATATATATAGTTCCAGTGTCTCAGTCTCCTCCTTTTAAGAAATGGAAAATATTTGCTGTAATACAGCGACATGTTGAGGCTTTACCTAAAAACCCTGAGCTGTTAGCGACGTGTTTAATTACCTTTTATAAGATAGGGCTGATCGGACATGATTACTTTCCATAAAAAGCAGGTGAAGTGCAAAAAATAAAAAAACTCCCTCTGTGTCGTCTACTGTAACGCTCGCACGGGAAACTCTTCAGACCTAGTGATGCTGGTTTCCATGACAACCGACTGCTGGCTGCTTTCTCCCACTCAAACAACTCTCTCCGTGATCTACAACATGTAACTCTCACTTAACCCCGAAGACCTGATTTCTTTTTATCCATCTAACAGGTTGTTAAGAGCAGTGCAGTTTGTTCTTAGCGTGGGGCTTGAATCTAACACCTTATATAATCTCAACAGTTATATTTATTCTTTATCACAATAAAACCAACATTTAAAATAAAGACAGTTGGCTAAACCCTTTTAGTCATTTTACTGCTGTTTTTAGGTCATTTGAAATGCTCTTATAACATCTGCACCAAGTTCCCATGAAACTCTTTTGCTCTGCTCCATATTTCACAAATGGTTTGTTTCTTATTTATTTAATAAAATGATTTATTTTGTTTTGTCATTCGTTTCTGTTCTAATCCGTTTAAGCTTTAGTTCTTTGGAGGTACGATGGCAAACATCAAGAGAAAGGCTTTTTTCTGATGGTTTTTTGTTGTTGTTAATTTGTACATGTTTCCAGATCTACAAGGACCAGCTCAACACTCGCATCATTCTGGTGGGCATGGAAACCTGGTCTTCTGAAAACAGGATCTCCGTGGGCGACGATGCCCTGCTCACCCTGCGAGACTTCATGAAGTACAGGAAGGAGAGCATCAAGGAGCGCTGCGACGCCGTGCACCTCTTCTCGTGGGTTCACTCTCCTTATTTGAGATACTGGTGTTGTTGTCGTCCTACTTCATCTTCTACTTTCTCTCATTATTTCCTGCTGCTTAATTTTCTTAATTTAGTCTTTTTCTTTATTCTTCCCCCTCTTCCCTGTATTCTTCTTTTTCTTCTCTGTATTCTTCGTGCCTATTCATATGAAATGCGTATTAGTAGTGTGAGATTTCTGTCTGAAGGAGTTTGTCACTTATTATTATTATTGGTATTATTATTTTTTGTATGAATGTTTCTTATGAATATCTCGTCTTCCCTACAGTGGCAGGACGTTCATGAGCACCCGCAGTGAGGCGGCCTACATCGGGGGAATCTGCTCTTTAACTCGAGGTGGAGGCATCAATGAGGTGAGATTTGTGTCCCTAACACTGTTTATATTATTGATTTAAGATACAAATCATGGCAGTTGTCCAATGAACCTAATAAAAATGGTTTATCAACCCTCCTGTTGTGTTCGTTTGAATCGTTTCCCCCCCATTACTTTGGTGTTCCCGTTCAAATTTGACCTGTCCTGTTTTAAATACTCTTACATTAACAAAAAAAACATGAATCAACACCACATTTAATTTAACACCCTTTCAAACTGTAAACAATGTATCAGACTACTGCTATACACGAACAACTGCAGTAAATATACAAAGAATACACAATGAACATGTATTTTTGTGATGTAATAAACATTTATTGTAAAGGGAAAAAAAGCATTCAAAAACAGAGACCAAATTCTGATCAAAAAGTTGACTAAACCACCCAAAATTAAATGAATGTGGTGATCAGCAATTTTACAAGTTCAAATGTCTACTGTGGAGGATATCATAAAGCCTCAATGCAACCAAATGTAAATCACAAAAAGTTATGAGCGATGAAAGTAGTACCTCGCTCAGATTTGACCGGAACACAACAGGAGGGTTAAGCAGCAGTCACTCGGGTATAACTCATGACACTGCACTTTAATATCTTTAATATTATTTACAGTTGTGATTGAGTAGTTTTAGAAGCAGGTAGCATGATTGCTGCACAGGAAGGTTAACTGAGTTAATACTGGGTGCTCTTTATCTTAAAGGTGTTGCAAAGATTATATCCTGCAAAAAAGACATTGAAGAAATATACAATTCAAATTGAATATTGATGAACGTTCTGTGATATTTATTACAATGACATTTTATAGCCCTTATCCAAAAAAAGTATAATTTATATATTATTTTTGCAGAGTGAAGAAATGAGTATTGGGCAACACATCAGGATATGTAAGGCTTCCCCTATAAATAACATCTGATGAATCATCTAATGGAAAAGCCACAAGCCCTTAGAATCAACTGAAATATGACATATTCATAAATATTCCTTTATTGGCTCCATAGGCGTTTCACAGAGATTCAGTCAACATTTTAATTTCCTTTACACACCAAACTAAAATAGTTATGGCAAATATATGAATGCTTATTATTTGCTCCATCATAGTGTGTTAATGCCGGTTATCTGTGTTCATTTGCAGATAGTACATTTATAACCCTCACCTGTTGCCAATTAGCACCAGGTTTTCTTTTGTCATACAAAATAATGGATATCATTTTTCAGCTGTTCTTTTAAGATGTTTATATTTAGTTTACTCTATTTACTGTCCCTCATGTGTCCAATGTAATATATGTGTGGTCTTATAGGGTCACGTGTTTAAAGTAACAAATAGTTCACATGAGTGTCTGACTCAGGTAGAGTTATTATCTTTAACTGTGTGTATGTGTGTGCCTTCAGTATGGCGGCGTTGGCCCCATGGCCATCACACTGAGTCAGAGTCTGGGCCAGAACATCGGCATGCTGAGAAACAAAGAGCGACTCGCTGCAGGTTAGACATACACGTGCATGCAGACACTGGTTGAGATCTTCATAGGAGGACAATCTCTTTTGACATGGATCAGCGACACCTAACATACTCTTGTTTTTCCTATTTATTATGGTTTCCTGCAATTTTATTTAAGTAAAGCTGTTTTATCTTAAATCTGTCTCTTACAAATACCCTTTGTTTTTTTTACCAAACTCAAGTAGTTTCCTTGTTCAAATCAAAACCTTCATAATGGCTTCTAATGTTTTTTAATCTTTAAATGTGTTGTTCTTTTTATGTATTTTAAACTGCACACGTAAAGTGTTTTTGAGTTCCTCTTAAAAGCTCTGTAATTATAATGTATTATATTAAAAGTATTATTGTTAGCTGTGTGTGCTGATAGTTTTAAATAACACTCCACCTCTGCTGTAATAACAGCTCCCTCTCGTGGGGAGATCTCAGAGTTGCTTGATGATATTTGTTGTGTGTGTCCAGGAGACTGCCGGTGTCCCGACCCGTGGCTTGGCTGCATTATGGAGGACACAGGGTATTCACCTTTTATTTTCCTACATTAAGAAATCTTTCTCAGGTGAAACAGGAGTCTGTGAAAACAAAAACAGATATTTTCCACACTAATTTACTTGTATTTGTTGTTAATTATGTCTCTGTAAAGCAGCTAGCATCGTTAGGGTGGGGGGTGATTTATTTATTTGAGGAATATCTAATGTGCTAAATGAATCTTTATCTGGGTGAAATATCAAAAGCATTTTAGTTGATAGGTCCATTCAGATTTTCTGAAGGGTTCAGGCAGTGTTGCAAATTCTGTTGCAAACAAATCTAACAATATTGATTTATTTGTCTTTGTTTGAATTGTATCAAAAAGCTACTACCTGCCCAGGAAGTTCTCTCGCTGCAGTATCGACGAGTACCTGCGTTTCCTCCAGCTGGGAGGAGGCAGCTGTCTCTTCAACAAGCCCAACAAGGTGAGAGGTGATCAGCCATCACTGCCTGGGGGGTTTAATCACATTCACTTTGTTTATATCACATGATAAACAATCAAAGCAAGTCTAAAGACCACATCACTAAAACCTTGTCAGTACATCAGTACACACAACAACACATTTTGTCTGTGAATAAATTAAGATGAAATAGTTTGAAATGTATTTGTGTTGTCTGTTTGAAAGATATGTATCGGTGGAATTGACTTTACATATATGTCCCCCCCTGTAGTTGTTTGACCCACCAGAGTGTGGGAATGGATATGTGGAGATGGGAGAGGAGTGTGACTGTGGATCACTAGTGGTGAGCACATTTCACTTTACTCATATCTCACTGCTTGTGTTACGCACAAAGACACAATCGATCTAAAGATGTACTATTAACCCTCTCTGAACCATAGGAGTGTGCACGGAGTGGCGCCAACTGCTGTAAGAAGTGCACGCTTACCCACAATGCCATGTGCAGTAATGGGCTCTGTTGCAGGGACTGCAGGGTGAGCTGCCTTAATACATCACATCATCTTCATAGTTTGTTGCTGTTTCTTAAGGCTCTGACTAATTATTTATATTTCATTTGTCTTTTCCATTCGTCTTCTTCTATGGTTGTTTGGGACAGTACGAGCTGAGAGGGGTGACGTGCCGTGACGCTGTAAACAACTGTGACATCCCTGAGACTTGCATGGGAGACACCAGCCAGGTAAATGTCTCATTATACATTTATAAAGATGCTTTAATAATCTTTTGAAACTTGTATGTTTGAAAATAATAATAAATAAGATGCTTATAGAATGTAATGTCATCTCTTGCAGTGTCCTCATAACGTCCACAAACTAGATGGCTACACGTGTGATGCTGGACAGGTGAAATCAAGCTATTGTTTTATGTTTTTGGTTGCTTTTTTAATTTAAACTTCGTCCTCACTAAGCACATTTAGGTGCTTTTAACATTTGACTTCACTGTATGGCATACCTTTAGGCATGGGAGTTTTTTCAGTTCAATAATATACTGTGTAGAAAAACCATTAAAACATATATTTTGATCCGTCAAACATTATAGAATTATAGTAAATCATGATGTTTTTAACAATCTAGAGCCTGCCATGTCTGCTCTACAAAGTGTCTGATGCAATAAATCATAATAACTGTTGTTACTGATCTTTGATATGATAAGGTTTTTGTAAAATAAATAAACCAAAGTGACACTGTGTAACCCTCTAAAATCTGTAAATATTGGATGGTTATGACTAAGATTGATCTTTGGTTAAATTATATTAATAGATTAATGTATGTTTTTTCCTTTTTAAGGAAATAAAAGCAACTTTTACAACAAGGCACAAAGGTTATTCAAAAAATGTTTCTCTTTTTGTCTGTCTTCTCCAGGGCCGTTGTTATGGAGGTCGCTGTAAGACCAGAGATGGACAGTGCAGGAATCTGTGGGGCTACAGTAGGTTTTCATTGGATATTAAGCTTACATTCTCCAGGTTGCATGGCCCTCTGATAGTTTAAGCAGGCTCACATGTTTGAATCTATTACTTGTTCTGAGTAACAATTACAGCAAGGCTATGGGATGTTCTGATAAAAGTGAAAGACTCTTCTGTTCTCTCTGCTCAGACTCAGCGGACAGGTTCTGCTATGAGAAGCTGAACTCTGAGGGCACAGAGAAAGGAAACTGTGGGCCGGACCCCAGCGGTCAGGGATGGGTTCAGTGCAACAAGCAGTGAGTGAACAGCATGGCTTCAGAAAATACACTTTATTCTGGCAAACACACAGAAGTGCAAGAAACAACATGGTTGGATTGAGGATGCCTGTTTTTTGGTTTTATAGAATTGCTTGAGTCTTTAAATGTGGAGCCTTTAGTCAGTTTTAAATCATTGACCTTCTTCTTTGCCTCCATCAGAGACGTCCTGTGTGGTCTGCTGCTGTGCACCAACCTGACGGACAGGCCGAGGTTTGGTGAGCTGCAGGGGAGGCTCACCAGTCTGACCATCCACCACCAGAACAGATACATGGACTGCAGGTGAGGCAGCTTCTCTCTGGCAGCTCGGTTGGTGAACAGTTGGAGGATTAACAAATACAGTCGGTCGGCCGCTTCATTTAAATGTTTTCTTCAAATGTCTTCAATTTTAGCAACATGACATTCAGTTCACCTAAGTCTTTTATTAAATGTTACTTTTATTGTGATTCTATTATCCACTGGTGTATTATTTCTTTTATATTTGTTACTCTTATTTTGGATTATCAAAGTTCCGTCTTATTTTAATTGACCTTATCTTAATCTGGATTCACTATGTCCAGGGAAGATGATGATTATTTTGTTGTGGACCTTGCACTTTTCTTTCTGGTAGTAACAAAGAGAGTGACAGACACTTAAAAATGTGTAAAACAAATCATCCAAATCAAGGTTTGGAACAAAAAAGAACACATAAAGAAAGCACTGATGTCGGAAGAATGATTCATCCTGGAACTGAACCCAACACCTTTGATATAAATAGCTATTTTAGTCAAAAACCAAAGACTGATGATTGTGACCCTCTGACTTTCAGGGGCGGCCATGCGGTGCTGGATGACGGCCTGGATATGGGTTACGTGGAGGACGGGACGCCATGCGGGCCCAACATGATGTGTTTGGAGCGCCGCTGCCTCCCCGTCACCACCTTCAACCTCAGCACCTGCCCCGGCTCCTCTGTGTCACACATCTGCTCCCACCACGGGGTGAGTCTGACTGAGTTCTGCTGGTGGGAACTACTTCTTGTGTTTAGTAAACAAGATAAGCTTTTAAATGCCTGCACTTCCCCTCCCTGTTTGCAGACTTGCAGCAACGAGGTGAGGTGTATCTGTGATGCCGACCACACCGGGAAGGACTGCAGCGTGTTCGACCCGATTCCCATCCCCACCCCGCCTGAGGGCCCCGTGTACAAAGGTACATGTAACTACACCGAGCAGTTTACCTGTAATGTGCTTTTACCAGTGCAGATACTGTGGCTCCTCACCCCAGTGGAAAAAAAGAAACTTATTAACAAAACTAAAGTAATTTCTCTCCTCATTAATCCAGAAAATAAAGCAAAAGTTGTCATCAAAGGATGGTCTTAAAAACTGCGACCTGCGTCCCGAAACAACTAAAAGTCATTTTATTTTTTGTAACTTAGACTATTAAAATATATAATAATAAATAAAGTAAACACATTTGTTACATGTCATTATCAACAAATAATCTAAGAACAATCAAATTGAATTTTACCGAAACGTTAGTCATAGATTTATTTATATATTGCTTTAAAATAAAAAATAAAAGTCTGTAATAAAAGATAAATATGTTTTGTTGTTTATTGGTGTCCATACTTCAATATCTTGTCTCACTTTTGCATGTACCCAAAGTCCACTAGGCACCCATTCACTAATTCATACAGAATACTACAAGTAGTTTTTGTTAATAATAATAAATAAATAAATAATTACAGCACTGATAATTAGAAATAGAAGACTAAAGGATATGTCTGTCTATTTTTTGGTATTGAGCACTCTCACATTATTATTTGTTTTCCTATTTTCCCCCTCACACGTTGACCCCTTCACCCCCACAGGTCCCAGTGGCACCAATATCATAATAGGTTCGGTCGCAGGTGCGATTCTGGTGGCAGCGATAGTCCTGGGGGGGACTGGCTGGGGATTTAAGTAAGAGTTCTGGCATGCCTCTATCTGTGTGTGCCTGCTGTGTTTCTCTGTCAGCTAACACACACTGCTGAATGCTCCTCTGCTTGTTGTCTGATCCATCCTCACAACCAGAGACCATGTGGGATTATTGTTAATGCTGGTGGACCAATTCTGAATTATCGTACTTCGAAACCTGCCTTTTTCTCTCTGGCTAGTAAACTCTTTAACGACATTCTCATCCTGACATGGCATGATTGACCACTTTGATTAATGTGTGATTTTTTTTTTGTTAAATTTTCTAAAAGTATAAGAGGTTAATCCTCATCTCTGTTTTAGGGTAGCATCTTAAGGCTACATAGATGCTTCTTGTATACTTGAATCTCTAACCAAAGGGTGGTTGGTAGAGTTGAATTGTGGGAAATGTAGGCACCAGATTCTGACAGGTTTGACTGTTTTGGAGGAAGAATGCGCGGAATAATGAAGAACACCTCTATACTTTCAAATCTCTCCTTTGCGATTCTGACTGTGCTGTAGGAGTGCAATGTGAAATCAGTTGAATGAGCTATGCAGATTTTTACAAACCCAAACAAATAGCTCTATAAGCTCTTTCCATGTTCCTCTCCGCACGACTGGATCTTCTTTCTGGATCTTCTTTCTGGATTTTGTTTATTCACACTCGACATGCTGCCTTGCCTCATGATAGCTTTGCTGTGGCATGCCTGCAGAATGTAAAGAGACTAAAATGCTTGTCTGCGACTGTCATCATTTGCATTCATCTCATGAATAACATTGAAGCATCGCAAGATAGATTGTACAGTTGCAATTTGCTTGTAGACTTTCCGGATAACAAATATGTCTCTTTTGATGCTTTGCATTTAAAGCCTTGGGTTCATTGCATGTTTTTTTTACATATTTTTCTCTGCTGCTCGCACACATTACAGTACAGTTGAATATCTGTCTTTATCTACTTCACTTGTGTTTTCTTTGTCTGCTCCTCCCATCTTGTTCCTGCCACTCTGCGGATCCAGAAACAACCGAAGAGGAAGGTACGATGCCGCTTAACCGTCCTGATTCTGAAAACATTTACTCACTGTTCATTATGTCGACATAATGCTGTCTGTTTTTATAAGAATCCTCTCCTTTTTGATCTGCTGAGCACCTTCAAAGATGTATACACACACACACACACACACACACGCACACGCACACGCACACACACACCTGCTTCAATGGCTTTATTTTTATCTTCAACTTTCAATACACACACACACATGTACACACACACACACACACACACACACACGCACACGCACACGCACACACACACCTGCTTCAATGGCTTTATTTTTATCTTCAACTTTCAATCTTATAATTATGTGTATAGGGAGGTATGCAGCATGAACCAACGCAACATACATTTATGTAGCCTTTGGTTTGCATTATTCTCCCATAGATTTCAAAATACACAACAATTTATGCAATTTAATCATAATCCAAAAATCATCTATTACTTATAATCTGTAATACCGGTTTGCTACAGTGAGTGTCCCCTTACTAATTTGGCTGCCTTTTTTTAGAAGATAGCTGCAGTGGTGACTTTGTAATGTTGATTTCATATATTTCAATAATAAAAGGTGAATGCCTCTTTTAAGTTTTTGGTTTTGGTTATTTTTAATGATTATCTATTACATGGTTTAGTTTATTTTCTCGATTCTTCTATCAACAGAAAAATGTGTCAACAATTATATTAGTCTGATTAACTGATTTAATGTCTTTTCTTTGCTAAATATTACATACATTTGACTTGTTTTTGGATACAACAAGATGTCACCTTGGGCTTAACAAATCCTGAGGGGTATTTTAAAATAGTTTCTGATATTTTGTATACAAAACAACTCAATGAAAAGAATAAGCCGGACACTCATTTATAATGAAAATAATCATTGGTTGTAGCTCTAATGAGATTTCTGCTATGTTTAAATGAATCTAAGCTGCCCTGTGTGTGCTATCAGATTCCTCACTGTTCTTCCTTCTCTTCCCCTCTTTTCCTCCTCTTTTCTTCTTTCTCTTCTTCCTCTTCTCTTTCCAGAAATGCATGAGCCGTGTCTCTCTGCTGTCCTCTCTTCCTTACACTGTGTCCAGTCCGGCACGAGGAGACAAAACAAAGATGTCTTCCACTTACGATCCTTCAGACCTCTCCTGTTTCCTTTTCTGATTTCATTACCCCTGTCTCTGTTGGCTTCCTGAAAAGTCTCATTATTAATATTTCTAACCGAGCCCTGAGGACACGTTCCCACCGGATCTGGAAGACTGTCAGTAAATATCTAGTCCCAAACATGGTCCGTATCTCCAGCCATTTAATTAGTTTTTTGCATTTCTACCCAGGACACACTCGACCCTTAACTGAAGTGTGTATTCTCAACATCTTAAACTCCTCCTTCCTCTGGTTACAGCTGATTTTCTGCCACATTTACTTAAAGCAATTCCTAGTCGGGACTTTTTTTGGGAAGCTTTCCCTTTTAATACATATTTAACCTCATGAGGAAACATAGAACATTGAAGCTAAGATAAAAAAAAAAGAAGACATTTTATCAGACCAGATGAGGGTTATTTTTGTATGCTAGGCCATTCCTTAGTCATACTTGCTCTTTGTGCTGCCTTTCATTATCCAACAGTATTCCATACTAAATCAATGCTTCTACATAATATGCATTAATGTATGAATGTAGTTCAGGCCTGCTAGGAAGCTAGTTGTGTCTCTGCGCCGATGACATTTAATTAGATTTCGGTACACACCAAATGTTTTATCCTGCTGTATGATATGTGATCTCTATACAACCAAAATGCATAGAAGTATGCTGGTGCTGATGTACATAGTGTATCATAGGGTGGACTCTTTGAGACAGCAGTGACTCACTGCCACTCTGAATGAAGCACAAGCTTGGAGAGAGAAGACTCTTCCCGCCGCTCAGCGTCAATCTGCTCATTTGGAAGATTCTGTCAGGGAGAGAGGATCTGAATTTTGCAGTTTTAAAGAAGTCTGAACTATAGGTTTCCAAAACTGGTGAATGCATGATCACGAAGGTTTCTTATTGCCTCTGAGAGATTGTAATTTATGACCTGGATCAGACTTCCAAGCTCTGATTTAACACAGGATGTCCCTCGATTCAACGTTTGTACATACATTATAAGGATGTGCATTTTAGCTGAGGTTATAAAGAAGAAATGAAAATATGCTTTATCTTTAAAGGGTGTCAGATAGTTAAATAGATCCATTAGATAAGCAATAAATATATATTTCAAATAATGTATCAGAAGCATGTTCTCCCTTTAGGAGAAAGAGTCAGCAGCTTTTATGAGAATCACTCTGTTAATCCTCTCTGGAGAGTCTATATCAGGTTCACAAGATGTCCTCCTCTGGTTGTTGTTATAAAGAAGCTTTACTTCACTTAGTAACAACGAGGAACTGCGCATTCGCACAGCCGCCACAAGAGATGATCTGAGTTACACTGCCAGTACAGTAGCATTAAAGGAATATGTTGATGTTTTCTCTGCCTCTGAAATTAGAAACAATAAAAAAAAAGAAGCTTAATTACTTTCCTAAATGAATCAAGTCAGTCAGAGAAATTCGTTTTTTTTTAAAAGATGCTTTCCTTATTTTGACTGGTTAAAGAGGCTCAAAATGCAAATTGTCTCTGAATTTTAAAATGTCAACACTTTGATTTGACTTTAACTCCGTATAAATGCTGTATAAAATCAAATACTCAAGGACAGACTTTTACAGGTCACACTGTGTTTACCGCCATCACACATCAAAGGTGGACTCACCTAAGGATATTGACGCTATATTCACAGTCAACGTCGTTCAGTCCCAGGGAGGTAACCAGTATTAGCTTATAATGTAAATACTTATATTATTGTATATTGAAATGCATATTAAAAGATATCTTACAAACAATGACTGTTACATTGGACGCATGTCTGTTTCAAGATGCAGCTTCAAGAATATAGTACATTTTTCTTTTAATAAATACTCTTCGATGTATAGAAGCGGTTTTACTGTGGTGGTGAAGAGTTAACTTTCTTGTTCTTCTTCCTACTCAGTTAGCAGGTTGTATTTGTAAATATTTGTAAGTATTTGTCAGAGATGTTTAGGACTGGAAGCATGTTTCTGTATATGTGCCTCACACAGTTCACAGGTGTTGCATGCCTTGAATCACCATAAAAATGTTCTAAACTTAATGTTTTAAACTTGACTGGGTATTTAATCCTTGCAAGGCGCCATAAAAGTAAATACAGGCATGCATGCATTATATTACGGTCATTCCCTTAATATACAGTATTTTAATCAAGCTGATCAAACTCTTTGGTTGGACCTTATCAGACTAGTTTGGAATGAAAACATTTCATATTGACTTTATTTTATTTCTTAAAAAACAGATAAATAGATACAAAGGAGAATAATTCAAACAAACTCTGAGAACAGATGTTGACACGAAACTGAAATGCTGAAAACCGGTCCTTTTTTCTTCTTCTGGTGATCTCTGACATGTTTTAGGCACACTGTTCCAGGTGAATCCCTAACTCTCAGCTCTCTCCAGTGTCTCCTTTGCCTTTGGGCTGCCTCCAGTCAGCGGTGAAACACTCCTCGTAGTCTCCCATTCCTTCAAACTCTGCATCCGGAGACTCTGAGGCCAAAAGTGCTGCTTCCTCTGCTCCAAAAAAATCCTGAGGGGAAAACAAAAATCAGTTTTCTTTTACAATATTCGCAAACAGGCCTTTTTGTTTCATGTCACAAAGCGCTACCTAAAGTCAGTAGACTCCAAGTTTATTCCTCCTAATTATTGTGAAATCTCAAGTGATTTGTTTCTCTTTTGTTATTATATTTTCCCTTTATCTCACCTCATCATCCATCTCTTGGTACTTCTGTGCAGAGGTCAGCATCTGCTTCTGGGTGACAGTGTGGTTGAAGAGTTTCAGAGCCTCCTGTTCAAACAGACAAACAACAAGAGCATGAGAATCACAAACTGAGCTCCTGTCCTTTACCCAGTTCTGCTTCAAAGCAGCTGGGAACCAACGTGAATAGTGGCCTTCAGTAAACGGTACATTAAACGCATATTTTTACAAAAAAAGAAAAAGGTTTAACTACCCATTATTCTTTTGATTTGACAGGATAAGTTTGTATCTCTGACCATTTCTTGCTTTATGATATAATGTGACAACTTGCAGATGAGGACAAACTTTAGTCTTTGGTTCCTCAGGGGTTGTTTCGAGTTGACATTTTGTAAGATGTGTTCTTCTCATAACACTGAATATCTTGAAATAATAACAAATTAGGAGCTGTGGTTTTGGAAAGCTGAGGAGACAGATCTGATATTTGCTCTCACCATCCTGGGTGTGAAGTGTTTGTCTTGCAGGCCCCACTGCTCACTGTAGGCGCCATAGTACTGCAGGTTCTGCTTCATCACCTGGTCCTCAGGCTCAAACAGGAAGTAGCTGTACGCGCAGGGCAGCGCACTGCGGCCATCGTTCACTGAGCGGAGAGAAACAGGAGATACTCAGATGAGTGTTGATGTTATTCAAGAGAAGTGATGGAGAGTTTCTGTTGTAAACTTACATTTATAATAGGCATACTGGAGGTAGTGGTACATAGTGGCCACACATTTCTCCACAAAATAACCTCCGACATTAGGCATCAGGTTCTCTTCGCACTTCAGTTTACAGCGTAATACATCAACATATTCATCTGTGGAGAGGAAGAGCAGAGATTATTAAGTAAAACCAAAGACAGGAGCATTTAGGTCCTTTGTATTGGTGCTTTCAATTAAGTAGTGTTAAAAGTACCTGCAGATAAAAGTTAATTTAAAATCATACTTCAGTAAAAGTACAAACATAATTTGCTTAAAATCGAAAAGTACTTTTTCTGCAAAAAATAGGCCCCTTTTAAAAACTTCTGGGCGATTATCATAAAACGTTTAGCAACAAACTTGCTAAATGTTAGAATAAAAAATAAATAAATGTAAATGCCAAATAGAAATAGGGAGAGGAACGAAGAAAAAGCAACTAATACATACGAAGCATGACATTAATCTTTTACAATTTGTTATATTTTATTTTGATATAAGAAAACCTAAACGTATTAATGTATATGTATTTTTTACGTAAAATCTTAACCTCAAATTAATCGACAACAGCCAGTTGAGTCCAGTTTTGCTTTTCTTGGATGCTCAGTGATGTTATTTCTTCATTTGTTTAACAGCATACTAACCTGCTATGACTGCATAGAAGTCTCTGTCTGGTGAAAGTTGACTGATCCCTTCACAGTCTGCCTGACAGAGCTCAAACTCCAGGAGGTAGAACCTCAGAGCTTCCTCCATGTCTTTAACACCGCTGCTGTAGTCACCTGAATTTATGAGTTTCACTCCTCTCAGAAAGGAGGCCTAGAAAGGACATTATTAATATTGTCAAAGTTAGAAAAAGCTGTAATCTTTGAAGGAGTGGGACGTTGTTCTTAATGTGACTATTCAGCAAATATTGTGCAACTTTTCCATGCAGAAAATATTTGTATGAAGGACAGAGTCTAGGTGGCCCTCACCTCATAGGGTTGTTGCTCGTGGTCGAAGAGGTAGCCCTTCAGGTCGTACTGGCTCTTGTGCTCCTCCATCAGCTGCTGCACCTCCTGGTCCTCAGGGTTCTTCTGGAGGTAGGTGTAGGCACATGGGACGGCCCTCTGCAAGTCATTCAGCTAGAAGAAATATTTTACCACACTCATTTATCATTTACAGAGGGTTAACTTGCGGAATTTTGCTTGTGTTAGTTTAAGTATATTGGAACCAAGGTTTGTAGTTCTCATTTTCATGTTGGGTATTTTGTCTAAGACACAATTTCGTTTTTATTTCTATTCATGTTTGTCATTGATGGTAATTTTGTATAACTGCAATACCAATTGTATCTATGATTTCCAATTTGTTGAATTTCATACAACTTTATTTTTGCACCTGTCATCCAATGACCATGTTTTTATTTCTTCTGTAAAGGCTATTCAATGTTTTGATTTGTTCATACTAAGATGGTGTTCCTAATAAGGTAATGATATACATATGACTGTAGTGGATTCAAGGTGTGTTGTTACACGTGTACGGTGTATCTCACCCTCGAGTATGCAAAGTGCAGGTATCTGTAGGGAGATCTCCTGCTGAACTCCTCCAGAATGTTTCTGCCTGGAGGAGGCAGCTGCAGCGCGGGGAAATGCGCTCTGCACTTCTTCTGACAAGACGCTCTCATTATCACGTGCCAGTTGACGCTGAGGTCCGTGTTTCCTGTGAAGGACAGTTCTTCATATTTGCTGTTATTACAGTGCAGCACGCAGTACCTCACACTGTCTCTGAGGAGCCGGTGCAAACGCAAACTCAATTCCAAGTATTTGATCGACTCCGTCCACGTTTCTGCTGCGTAATGATCCAAAGCCAATCCATACGCAGTGGTGACGGGCATGAGCTCCTCCTTGGGGAACTTTTTGAAATGGTAGTTTTCGTATTGCGCGTCTGTCCCTAAAGCTAAGGTTAAACAGAGCAACGTCAATAGCGCGCCTCCTTTTGCGCAAAATGCCACCATGATAAGACAATATCCCACATATTATTCCGCGTCCTCTCTCTTTTCTTCTTGTTTTCCTGTGCCTGAGTGGTGGTCTGCTGAAGTGCTTAGGGCTCTGTGGGAATTCCGGGATTGGGTCTTTCAGAGTTTCTGTCTCGGGTTTCTCCATGCAGGCCTTCAGCTGTCACACACACTGCTTCTTTATTTGGCACAAGAATATGCGTGCGTAAAAGTGACTGCTAGTGCGCATTGTTGTCCTGTATGATCTGCAGTTGTTGATTGCTCCCTAATGCAAGTTTACTTAACATATGAGTAATACATCAGCATAAGATAAAATGTATAAACGTAAGTCCTATAGAAATGAATACAGTGTATTCTATTGGGTTTGAGGATTTGTGTTCTTATAATGTTGTGGATGTGTGCTTAAAACGTTCCTTGCTCATTATATCGATTTTTATTTCTCTTTTAAGTCTTATGGAGACTTTGTATTGATGCTTGAACCGGAATGATTTCTATAGGCCCGACTCGGCATGTTTAAAGAGATTGGACCTGTTGCATCAACTTGGGACGTGTCATCTCTATATTAATCACATTTTGAAACTTCACGGCATTAGTGGAAAAGCTGAAACTTTGGGGGCTTTCAGGCCTCTTTACGGCTGATGGTCTGACTGAGCCACAGAGGCGGATCTATGTGGTTTCTGCAACGGTGCTGAAGAAACAAGCTAAGAAAATCAACGGGAGGCCATCCTTTCAAAATAAAAGCGGAAACGGACACAATTGAATAAAAAACGTAAAATCTGGACATATCAATCGATCTCAGAAGTGGACCACATTTAAAATATAACACACCCTTAAAGACACATTGTGTATTAATAACGATTTGAATTTAGACTACAATCAATGTTTTGATTATTTCTGTTTATTAGCATCTGTTGTGATTTTGTTTTATTTTGTTAAAGGAAGTAGTGGTCTTACATTATTGTGGGTAACTTGACAGAGGCGCTCCCCCCTTTTCCAACTCCGACATTCCTTCCCCCTGGCTATGAAAACTCTTCACTGGAACCTGGAGATTGTCCACGTTTACAGCATTTAGATCCGCTGCCTGCTCCACATCTGCAACCACGGCCCTGTGCGTAAAGAGTGCACACGGCTCCAGGCTTTAAATTCCTCCATTTAGTGGCTAATTTATATTTTGGATTCGTTTAATTTATTTGCTCTGATTCTGTAACGATGTTTGCCTGCTGCGTTGCGTTTTTCCTCCTCACTACGTGGTCGTCTGTGGAGTGTAATCCCAGTCCCGTGTTAGATGTAGTCGTGGACAGAAAATTCATCCCTGCAATCTGTGCAAGAGAAGCCAAGGAGGGCGATTATGTTCGCTATCACTATAACGCCACATTTCTCGACGGAAAAACGTTTGACTCAAGGTAAGTTCATACGCTTTTTTTTTAAAATTGTGAATGCGTTCATTTTTATTACTTTAAAAAGTTAGTTATTTTGCTGCAGAGGCCCGATGCAATTTGGCCATTTAAAAAAAAAAAAATGAATCGGCTGAGATTTAAATGCATTAGTCTATAAATAGACATATATGCGTATGTTTTGCACATAATATTAATTTTCTCAAAAAATGAACATCCTATTGACCCACTTCTGATGTCTTTTTAATGTTGGATCATTCACAGTCATGAGAAGGGAGACGCAAAGGTTGGCCTGCTGGGAGAGGGCCGGCTCATCGCTGGGATAGACAAAGGTCTGCAGGGCATGTGTGTGAATGAGCGCAGAACGATCACCGTCCCGCCCCACCTGGCCTATGGAAGCGCCGGAGCAGGTAAATGTCACTTTCAATCTTGTCTGCGCAAGGGGTACCTTGTTGGAGGTGCGCAGCTGCCTTTAAAGACCGAATGTTAGTAATGGTGTGTTCTAGTTCTTGGCATATACAGGACATTATTTTTTCCAATTTTTTTAGGAGTTAATTGAAATGTCCGTTTTGCCCAGGCTCCAACTTGTCTATGTGGCAATTTTTTATGTTGGTATTTATTTGTTCAATTAAAAAATGGTTTTGTAATACTAAAGTATGTTGTGTATCTTGTCATAGAGAGGGGCCCTGTGTTAAAATTAAGTTTGTAGACATTTTTATATTTTATTTAATGCAATGCATAACCTTAAACTATTTGTGTCTCATCAAGTTGTCCAAATTAGTTTATATATTTAAAAATAAATTGAGTAATGGTAGTAGCAGCAGCATATAAATACTGTTTTCTGTGTCTAAATGGGGGCCCATAGGCTCAGTGTATATTACAGTTAGTTGAGCAGACGTTGTATAGCTGTCTGTTAGCTGCTCTGGGAGGCTGTACTTGTGGCACAATGGTGCTTTGATCTAGATTCTAACATTAGCATGCTAACAATGAATAGCATATATGCTAATGCTTCACAGGTATGATTTTCCCATATGTACCTCTCTTAGTTTAAGTTTATCATGTTAGCATGCTTATGCCTTTTTATCTGTGAAATGTTGGCACAATGATGGAGTTAGACGAGAATAGATCAGAAAACTTAAGGTGGAGCTAGAGGGGAAATGAAGGGGCACCAAAGTAAATATGCTCAATCCTCTGGGGAACATGATTGCTTTTATTTAACTGAGGCCATTCCATCCAGCAGATGTTGAGATATTTCACATATAAGTGATACTATTAACACTGTGGTGGTGCCAGAGTAAAAGTCAAGCAATCATTAAAAGTCAACAAACCTTAAAACATGCTGCTGCAATGAATGCACTGTATTGATACAGTTTAATCAGAAACAAAAGTTTAAATTAGTTTTAAATGATTATTTAAAGTTATTTATGTCATTGCTAACTTTTATCAACCATGTTTACAGGCGACGTGGTTCCTCCAGATGCCACCCTGATGTTTGAGCTCCATCTGTTGGATCTCTGGAACAAAGCCGACCTAGTGGTCACCAAAACCATCAGCACCCCCAAAGACTGCAAACGCTCCGTGATGAGCACTGACTTTGTGCGTTACCATTTCAACGGCACTCTGCTCGACGGCACAGTCTTTGACTCCAGGTAAATTATGGCATTGGTTACTGTTGGTGTCCAAAATGCTGACCTATTCATCATACAATATACAGATAGCTTAACAACTGTAGCCTGAAAAATAGTAAATGAACCACTCTCAATGAAAAGATTCTTGTTTGACACTAAATCTCTTTCTCATCTGAAGGAATGCCTTGTCTGAATAACAGCTCTTTCTGTGTTTGTACTGTGACATGCAGGTATGTTGTGTTTGACTTTGCTCTTGTATGAGCCCTATGTAGCTACAACAGACATCAGACACACAACACTTTGGTCGGTGAGGGCTGGCTGGTTAAGGGCTTGGAGGAAGGCCTGCTGGGTATGTGTGTGGGAGAGATCAGAAATATTATCATCCCACCCTTCAAAGCCTACGGAGAAAAGGGATCAGGTGAGCACAAATTATGAATCAATAAAAAGTCTAATGAGAGGTCATAGTTGATCTGGTGTCACTGCTTTGCAACCAAACCATGATTGTTCAAACACAAAGAAATTAGAGGTTAGAAAAATAAAATAATGTTACAAAGAAGTACCAGACATATCCCCCAAATCACATCTCATCAATAAATGCGTATATACATTAATAAAGGCTTTTTTCATCTTTGCACTTAAAACACTTTTTTACCACTAGTAGTGCTATGGAGCAATATTTTTAGGTGCGGGTCCCCTATGTTTTTACATGTACAAGGGTGGACACTTAAATAAATAAGGAAGGAACAAGGAAATGGATTTGGTTCGAAACAAACATGTTTGCCCCTTGTATTTTGTTACTTTTATCTTTATGCAAAGTTTTTAAACCTTGTTGTAGTTAAAAAAACAAATAACATCCCCTCATTAAAAAAAAATCGAATTATTCACCATCTGCTCTCCAGGTAAGGAGATTCCCCCCCAGGCCACCCTGGTGTACGATGTTCTGTTGGAAGACATTCACAACGCAAAGGATAACCTCACCATTGAGTCCTCGGTGGTCCCGGAGTCCTGCACACGCAAGTCTGTGGTTGGAGATTACGTCCGGTACCACTACAACGGCACCTTCCTGAACGGAAGGACCTTTGACACCAGGTGAGCTCATGTTACAGTCACAGTAAAGTTGCCAGTCATATTGTAGCAATTTGTACTTTAACTATAAACATGTTATCCTCTGTTTAAATCGAAATGTCAATGTATAACTTCATTATAATGGTGCTGTCTCATTAAAGACATATTTTGAGTTTTGAACACAAGAGACCCCTAAGTGTTTATTTCTATTCTCAAGGTATAAATGTAATTTGAAAATGAATCTATGATTGTCGCTGCCAACAGCTACCAGAGGAACAGCACATACAACACCTACATCGGGATGGGGTACGTCATCGCCGGCATGGACCAGGCCCTGCTGGGGATCTGCATCGGAGAGAGGCGCAGAGTCATCATTCCTCCTCATCTGGCGTATGGAGAGCAAGGAGCAGGTGAGTCAGAGTAGATCTACCATGCAGCTTGTAGTAAGTTGTCTGCAAACATTGAACTGAATTGATTTATTGTTAAACAAACCCGTAAACCAAAATGTATATGAAGACAGAATTGCTGTAAAAGTGTTTATTTGTACTTTGACCCGATGTTAAAAACCAGAAAGAAAAAGTAATGGGTAATTTTAGCACTTATCATTCAGTTCTTTTTTAGAGTGATTTAACTACCAAGGATTTGCAAATCACTAATTGATTAATCAATTACTAACTCATTAATTAAATGCATAGCACAAATAAGTTTAAAATAATGGTAAACAAAGACAGAATTAAAATACAAATTGAGATAGAATGGGAAATAAGATGCATAATAAAATGAGTGATAGTATAGGTAACACAAGATAACGATAGGAAATTAAAAACATAAAATGTATAACATCAGAAACTCAGGAGCATTTTCCACCGATCTAAGGAGATGAAATAATAACGTGTTGTCTCTCAGGTGATGTCATCCCCCGCTCTGCTGTGCTTGTGTTCGACGTTCACATCATCGACTTCCACAACCCCAACGACACAGTGAGCATCGCCATCACACACAAACCCGCAGAGTGTAACGAAACCACGGCGGCGAACGACCTCGTCCGCTACCACTACAACTGCACCCTGGTGGACGGCACGCCTCTCTTTTCCTCGTGAGTCACCCACACATCCCAGTTTTTTTTTTTTAAACAATGATATTAGATTACCACTTACATTTGCCCAATCTACGTCCTCAGACACGACTACGAGCACCTTCAGGATGCAGTTCTGGGGTCAGATAAGGTGATCGACGGTCTGGACCAAGGCTTGAGAGGCATGTGTGTGGGAGAGAAGAGGGTGATAACAGTTCCCCCTCACCTCGGACACGGAGAAAAAGGAGGTAAGACTCACGATATCAGTGCAGTTTAAATGGTTTTATACATTTTATAACCCTGACTTGACATTTGATTTCCTAAAATGCTGAAAGGTAAACACATTTTTGTTTTGTTTTCTCTTCGTCAGCCACCGGTGTGCCTAGCAGTGCTGTGTTGGTCTTTGACGTTGAACTGGTGAGCTTCGAGAAGGGAGTGCCACCTGGTTATCTGTTCGTGTGGATTGAAGAGAGCCCTGCTGATTTGTTTGAAGCCCTGGACATCAACAAGAACAAAGAGGTCCCACAGGAGGAGGTACGTTAACTCTTACAGTGACACAACCAGCTACATTATTTCACATGGCAGATAACAGCCCCTAAGATTATGAATGAACAATGTGTCCAAGTGTGTTCTGTAAATTAACATTGAGCTTATAGGTTACCAAGTAAAGCTTGGGCTTAAAAAGTCTTAGTATAGTATGCCATAAAAAAGTGATTGTAAAGTGTGCCTCCAAAATATTCTTTAAAATGTCATTGTATAACATGTCATAATACTATATTTTGGTATACTATGCCATAAAATAATCGAAAATAAACGTCATATGTTATGCCTTTAAAATAGCCATAATAATATGACATAATTAAAAGTCATAGTAAATTGTGCCATTACATTTAAAAAAAAAAAATTCTAATATCTTATGACAAAAAAAAAAAAGAAGATATTATTATAGCAGTTATTGGATACTATGTCATAGTGCGTCATCTGCTTTTCCCAAACGACCTGTAAAACCCAAGTCTAACGTGGTTTGATGCATACATATTTAGTGTAGTTATATCACACAGCACTTTTATTGATATGTGATTCTTTTCTTTTTGCTGTCGCATTTTAGTTTGGGGAGTTCATCAAGCTGCAGGTGACTGACGGCAAAGGTCGGATAAAGCCTGGAATGATCATGGAGCAAGTCATTGAAGACATGTTCAGCAACCAGGACCGGAATAAAGACGGAGTGATCACGGCCGACGAACTTAAACTGAAGGTAGAAGAGGACAAAGAACGGGAGTTACACGAGGAGTTGTAAAGAGACACAATGCTTTATTCTCTCTCAGGAAAACCCACCACCTTAAAAACAAGCTGTCAGAGACTTTTCCCATACATCATCATGGTTTTTTGGATGTTTTTTTTTTATGACAAGGCGAGTGTAAAAAGTCTTTTTTGTGGAGTTCTGTGTTGATAGTTGTATTTCAGAAAACCAAAACAAGCACCTTTTATTTGTCCCTGAAAGTCACATGAATAAAAAATGTTTTTAAGAAAATGATGTTTATTTTCTCAGACAATTTCAGGTAATGAACTTTTCTGAAAAATGATAGAAAAAAACACCATAGTATCAAGTATTTTCAGAAAAAAGTCATAGTATGTTTTAAGTTGAAAAGAGTAAACTTACCATTTTAATACTTTCTTTAATGACACTTAAAGTTAAGGACAACCAGCACATTGTTATAATTCCCAGTAGCTAGGAATCAGTTGAATGAAAAAACACTCGTCATCAAATATTGTATTCTGTAGCTTCCTAGTGTTCTTACTCACTACTACAATAGCCTAAAAGCTGATATCACTATTGTCAACTTAGAATATGAAACAGAACACTTGGCAGATAGACACATTTACAAAATGCAATGTATGTGTTTTCTCAAACACAAGATTCATTTAAAATAGACTGTAAACAAAAAGTAAAATAAGAATTTGTTTCTGCTCAAAAGGAGTGAGAATAAATAGACATGACATTTTTAAGAGGTTGCTGGCATGTTTTGAAATAACAAGACAATATGAATCCTCCCTGCACTGAGGTCTGTTGAGGTGGCTCATGGCCAGGTAGGTCGTAAGGTTTTTATCTGAGGATTCTCTCCAACATGAAACAGCAGGGAGGAAAACCCAGCCCTGTTATACTGTGTGAACAGACAGAACTGACAAACATCACAGATTCTTCTCAACGAAGTAGCAATTTAAATATTTGTATTATGGCTTAGATAAACAGTCAAAACACTGAGAGTGTAAAACAAAGACCAGACCAGTCTCGTGGTCTGGATTGAGGTAGGTGAAGATCATGCGTCTAACTTGTTGTCTGTTGATGAGGTAATGTATTTGAGTATAGCGTTGGGAACTTCCATCGTCTCGTCCTTCACCAGCACGACGTCAAAGGACTTGACGTACAACTCTTTCCTCTCGTCCATCTGCAAGACACAAACACTGAGAACCAAAACTCTGGATCTCAATGTGTTGCTCAAAGGAAACACGATATATGAGACTGACCTGGTCGTTGAGGAAGCCGATGGTGAGGATGTTCTGATGCTCGGACACACCGTCAGCCATGGTCAGGTCTCCCAAAGAGTCTCCAAGCAACAGCACGTTGGGGCGACCCTGCAGCACTCGGAGGCCAGAGGCGTGTGACAGAGCCCCCTCCCTCTTGTTGAAAGTGTGGATGAGTTGGCCTTGGAACGCTCGCAGGACCCCCTTATGAACAACACAGCATTCAGTTACTGTTTCCTCATATGGAGGATAAAGCTGGAGTGGAATCATGTTGACCCCGTACAATGTGTGCTGAGAAGAATCAATGGATATGTTGCATTAAAGATACATTATGTACTTGTATTGATGTCTACCAGAATTGTACTATGATAAATACACGTAGGTGTGGTTTTAATATGCTTGATGTATTCATTTATTCTGTTACTGTTTCCAAGCCCTAAAATGTATCACTTGATTAGAGAAAATGATCATTGCATTGGTATTTCCCTATCGAGGCCCATTTCTAGTAATAAAAGACAATAAATAATATAAACATTTAGATGTGTAATTGAAAAAAAGTCATATTGACTTGTAGTATTTCAGAATAAGAAAAAAACATTGATAAATAATGTATGAGTAATTGTATGTCAAAAAGGTCATAGCATAGTATGCAATACAAATGCCATTAAAATAAGTGTTGTATTAAAAAAAAAACATAAAAATCTCATAACAAATCATAGTATGCCATAAACCATTCCATATTTTGGTTTATACTATAGTACAGGGGTCGGCAACCCCTGGCACGCGTGCCAATCACCGTAACCAGTGGCACACGTGGAATAAGTGTGCAAAATATTTAAATTGTATTTTCGGATCCTGAACGAGACCGCCGCCAGAGCGCGTCTCCCCGTTACCTGCAGAAGGAAGCCATGCACGCAACGCAGCCCCGCTCTCTTTATCTCCAGGTGACTTTCTGCCGCTTTCCTCCGTGGTGCAGTGCTGATCGTTTCACCACGGAGGAAAGCACTTCACTAATTGCAGTACCCATAAGGAGCTGTAGAAAACGCCGCAGTTTTTGCGTGGCTGTGTATTTAGTTGAAAGCCCAGTGGCGATCTGCTCATCTCTCATCGAAATAATATGCTACAAAGGGGCGGACTGGCCAACTGTGTGTTGAACTTTCCTGTCGGCTCCCAGACCGTAGTCGAGGAGGGCAGAAGCAACAAGCTTCAGGTTCAATAACCCACTTTAGCTTAAATGACTGGAGAGAGGCGAGCTCTTCTTGGGAGGCCGTTGCATTTATTTAGCTGTTCTTCTGTTTCACAAAATACATCACAGACCTCTGTTTTTCTGCTTCCTCGTTTCACTTCCAGAAACATACACACGTTCCCTCACTGTCGCTCTACCATCCACAACACACATGCACAAGCCACACCCCTCTCTCTCTCTTAAAGGGACAGCGATCTCATCTCACTCTGCATGACCCTAATATCATAACATGTGTGCTCTGGAGAATCACAGAACGGACGATCGTCCTTATTATTATGCCATTTAAACCAATTATTTAAATGTGTTTGTTAAATTCGGCATCATGCGAGTTGCGCTGACAGGTTCACACACTGCTTCCCCGCAGCGAGGCTCCCCCGCCCTCCTGCTGATAGTTGAGGAGCGTCAAGCTCCTCAACGCCCCCCCCCCTTGATAATTCTCGATCGTTGGCACGCTGATAACAATTTTTTTTTAAAATGGCACTTCATATCAGAAAGGTTGCCGACCCCTGCTATAGTAGATCATAAAGAAAAGGACTTATTTTAGTTGTCTTAAAATTTCGTACATTTTTTTGTTTTTTATAAAAAGGTCATAGTATAGAATGTCAATAAAAATATAGAAAAAAAATCATAGTATATATAGTATGTGATAAAACATGTCATAGAGTAATAATACAGTATAAAACTCACAGCTTGGTCAAAGTCCATGTAGTTGGAGATGATGTGGACGTTGGGGTGGAAGACGTTGTTCTGTCGGATCACTTCCTCCAGGACGTCTCCGACACCAGCCGAGAAGATCAGCAGAGGCACCTGCTGCTCCGTCAGACGGTCGAAGAACACTTTGTAGCCCTCCCTAAACACACACACACACACACACACACACACACACACACACACACACACACACACACACACGTTCAAAATACTGCTTTTTACAAGTAAAGTAGGTTATTTCTTCAGCAAAATGTACTTAAAAGTAGCTAAAGTGAAATGACTATTTAAGCAGAGGATTATCCCTGTCAGTGTTTTAGCTGCCAGACAAATGGAGTGTAATGTGCTTAGTTACTTTCCATCAATGGAATCAGGGTATTGATTAATATGGACAAAGTGCTAACCTGAGCATAGTGCTGGATTCCTTCACAGCCTGGGCCAGCAGCTCCTTCCTGATCCTCTGCTGAATCAGCAGCTCGTGGACTTGAGTCCACCTGAAGAGAGTAGCACACACACCCCCATCAGGCTTTGGGTTGTTTCACTTCTCTTTAGTCCTTATAGGAAGTGGAGCTTTTTAAAAACAATGTTATGATGTCTGAGTTCAACTGGTCCATAAAACAATGAGACAAATGACAAGTGTAGGATTCTTTCCTTGTAAAGTTTTAATTGAATTTGAACAGTATATGATGAAGACAGTATGTCTCTTACCACTCCACCATGAGAGGCAGCTTGTCTTCAGCACTCCGGCCAGCGTCAATCTCTATTGGATAGTAGGTGTTCAACAGCTCCCTTATCTGCAGTGGACCAAGAGAAACAATGAACATATACAGTATATACAGACCACCTGAAAGGGATGCCTCAGTTGGTACTTGCTGAGAGAAGGAGAATTGCAGACTAGAGAACATACGTATATCTAGAAGTTCATGTTCTGAAACTAATTTGATTTTAAAAGTTCATTGTGCATTTATGTCACTGCATAAAAACCAACACCTGCAGTTACAGCATGGAAACATTTTTACAAGGGGAAAATTGACCTAATATTCTTTTAAATTGTTCACTCTTTACTGAACTTATGATAGTAGTACATGTACCTTTTTACTGCAATCCTCGTCTATCAACAACCGGTGATCCAGGATGTCTGGAAAATAAAAAAGTAGTAGCAATTTCAGAAAAAGCACACACCATCCTGGCAACAAAAATTACAGGAACATTTTTCCTTACTGTGCGTGGTAGGAACTCTCTTTCCGTTGTGGGCAAATCTGGTCAGTGTCATATCGAAGTCTGAGATCACCTGAGGAAATATGACTATTTCGATCAGTTTCAGAGTACTCTATCACTCAGCAAACACACATTCATGATCAAGCACGGATATAGTCCACTTTTGCTCAGTTTTAACTTGGCAAATGTGTACTTCCCTATAAATGCTCACAACCTGGTCATTACTACCAACATGTATGAGCAAAGGGCACATAGACACACATGCTGACTACTAATTGCATCGATCATAAGCGTCATAAGTCTTTATGTCAGGTCCAAAACTTTGGCGTTGGTGCATTACAAATATAATTGAAATGCAATAGTCGACAGTCTAGACTGTGCAATTAGATATACCACCTCTGACTTTTGTGGACTTTCCAAGCGTAGTAACTGCTTTTGAAAAGTGTTGCTATGCACCTCTTTATTTCCAGGTTAATCATAGTATGTTTGAGTGTTATTTCCTGTATTCAACCCTTCCAATGAAATGCTGCAGAGTTCTCTCACCTGCAGGCGGCCTGCCCCTGCTCGCTGCATGGCGTAGATCGTGTCCTCCACTCTGCTGCGATCCCTCATCAGCACCGAGCACTTGGCCAACTCTGGGATCTGACCAGGGAACAGTTTAGTCTTAGAACACATGTTTATCACGACACAGAGAGCAAAACATAAAGGAGAGTGATGTGGGACAAAACATTTTTAGATGCTTGCACTTTAAGATCAGGGTAACATTTTACAGACATGTGCACAAGGCTCTAAAATCAGGCATCATCTTTATTGTGTGTAGGCACATACACAGATAA